TGCACACACTGGCTCAATGAACTCAGTTACACAGCCAAGGAAAGGTTCCATTGCTTCCCTGAAAGCTATGGAAACAAGTAATGATTTATAGTGGTTTATTGATGGTCTGATTCTGCTACCTCAGGAGAAGAGTGAACAAAAGACAGGATGCTGACTCATGAGCAGAAATGGAGCAAAAAGATGACACGTTGTTCAAACCAGCCTTCAGAGCAGTGATGACATTCTGGAAGAGGATAATGACTGGGAGAAGTATCTGTGGGATTGACCTGTTTGTTTCAACTTTCCCAGGGCAAGTGTTTTTTAGCTGTGGGCTTTCATGTATATTAGGTGCAATATTATTACTCACAAATCATCAGCTGGAAAGGAGAGACATTATGTCAGAAGACGAAAACTGACACCCCCAACATTTGCTTCAGTTTCACCGGAAATCTGTCACCTCCCTGGTCTTTTTTGGAAGAGTCTGAAGATTTAAGTTCAATGTATCAGAGGTATTTGGCTACTCTGCTCTGGCTGACCACTGCAAGGCGTCAAGAGCTATTTTTAGACACATGAATAACGAAGGATTTTGGAGTGGATCCTGAAATGTCCTGAGGCTCAACAGGAATGTGGCAGTGGCACTCAAAGGGGCTTGTTTGCAAGCGTTTGATTTGTTCATTAGCTCTGAGCTCTCCATCCCAGTGTGTGCTGTGAGTCACATCTCCTCTGCCCACAGCCTCCCCATGGAAGTGGTTCCAACTGGGGGGGTCTGTGCTTACTTGGGGCTCAGCCAGGGTCTGGGCAGTTCCACCTTCTACTGATGTGGCTGTGGGAGTCACAGCCCTGGCACAGTCCCTCTGCATCCCCCCCAGCCCCCTGCCAGGCTGCCAGCTGGGGTTTGTCAGGGGACACAACTGCTGCCCTTCCTTGGCCGATCTGTGCAGCCCAGGGCTCGGGGCAGTGACTGCAGCCTCAGCTCAGGGTGCCTTGTCTCGTTTGTTTGGCTGTGTCCTGCCAGCTGAGACACCAAACTCCTTGGGCATTGCTGTGTCCGAGGCTCAAGGGGTCCCTGCCAAGGCACCAGCACAGCTCCAGACCACCAGCATCAGTACAAGCAGTGTCCCTGTGCCACATCCCAAATGATCAGGGTGCCACATCCCAACCGAGCAGGGTGCAGTGTCTCTGTGCCACATCCTGCAATGTCACTGTCCCACATCCCAATCGAGCAGGGTATGCAGTTTATCGCACCAGGGGCCACTGCAATAGTAGGTGTACCCCCAGAGACAGGAGGGCACATGCACACATTTTTATCACATATCACATTCTTGTCTCCTGAAGCTATGACTGAGAAGCTCAGACCGGTGCCCAAGTCTGTACGGTGTTTCTCAAACCCTGAATTACATTTTTATTTGATTTTCAAATTCTCCGAGAGACTCCCCGTTCACTCGGCATTCAGTAAGGCATGGATGCTCACTGGGTGAGCGGTTGAGGACGAACCCGGCGGCCCTCCCCGGTCACGGGCACCCCTCGCGGTCCCTTCCGGCCAGGTCCCGCCGGTCCCGGGGCCTTTCCCCCCTCGGGGCGCCGCGGCCGGGCAGGGCGGGAACCGCGGGCCGCCAGGGGGCGCTGCGGGACCGCGTGGGCGCGCTGACGGCGAGGCGGTGACACAGCGCCCCCTGCTGGCTCCCGCCGCCGTTCCCGAGCTCTCGCCGCGGCTTCCGATCTCCCGGTGCCCTCTCCCGGCTCCCGCCGCCGTTCCCAATCTCCCCGTGCCCTCTCCCGGCTCATTTTCCCCATTTAACGACGCTGCTGTGGCACTTCCCGGTCGGCACCGGTCATTAGAAGGCGGCACCTCAACTCTGGGCTCCCCGCACCCCCGTGGCCATGAGACCCGTGCGGATTTTCCTGCTCATTGAACTCAAAATTTCCTTTGGCACAGGAGCAGCCGAGCGAGCTGGGATGTGCGGGGGAAAACCCACAGGACACGTCCCGGTTATGGTGTTTGAGTGGGCAGAGGCAGGGGCACTTTCTCCACACCTCACATTCTCGAACACAGCAAAACAAACCTCCAGGAATAAAATAAAAATAAAAATAAAAATAAAAATAAAAATAAAAATAAAAATAAAAATAAAAATAAAAATAAAAAATAAAAATAAAAATTTATGTCACTGGTGACATTGATTCCTGCATTTCACAGACAGGCAGAGGTGAAGCAGCTGAGCCAGTGCAGGTGTATGAAGTACCTGTATAAAGCCCTGTTGGCAATGCAGATCTTAAAAAGAATCATAAGGCCTTCAGCAATGACAGGACATCAGTGGGACACATTTTAGCTGAAAAATACTCTGCTCTTCCTGGCCTTTGGTGATTCTCACCCTTCTTTCCTGGGTGAGAATTGGGACAGGACACAGCCTGTGTCATGTGCCACCGTCAGGGTCATCAGCCTTCCCAAAAGCCGCCAGCAGCTCGGTCCCTCTGTCCCTCTGTCCCATCTTGCTCCTGCCGTGTCCCTGTGCTTGAAGGCTCTCTCCCATCTCTGTGGCAGCCCCCCATGCCCAGCCCCTTGCCCACACACAGCCTGGGAGATGCTTCACACCAGGTTTCTGTGAGGTGAATGTCAAGACATACCCCACTTACTCTTGTCTGCATAGTGACAGAGGAATATTAAAAATGAAAATAAATTCAGGATCATTAAAGGGTCAATGCAGATGCCACAGAAGAGGATTTTACACTTGAGAAAGCTGAATTTTGTCCTCCTGTGAAAAAAAAAAAAAAAAGAGTGATATCTCATTTTGATGTGTAAGAGACCAGGCCCATTCTCCACCTGCGGTACCAGTCTCTGTGCAAACAATTGCACTCTGTGAGTTAACACTTCTCTTATATGGAAAACTCATCAAGAAGAAGCAATTCCTGTACCTGAGACAGGGATAAAAAATTTTTTAAATGACCAAAGTCCACAGTAGCAGTAAAATGTCAGACCAAGTAACTTGGTTTTACCAGCTTAATAGTTATTCAGTTAGCTAATGATTACTTCACTGGCAAGCTTAACTCCTGCACAGTGAGCACTGGGCTATTTGACAATAGCAGCAATCCCAAACTGAGTGTCAGCTCAGGTGACCCCTCTGGTGTGTTCAGCACTGTGTTTTGGGGAGCAGAGCACCCTATGAGAAGACTCTCAGGTGTCTTCTTAACACAGTTAAAGCCAAAGAGAGAGGAACCCTCCATGGAGGGATGTCATTCCCATTCCTCTGGCTTACACATTCCTGTTTCTACATCTCCATGTTTTTCAAACTAAAGTCATTTGGTCTGGGTTTGGAGGGTGCTGCAGTGCTTTGGGTGATGTTGAAGTGAACCCATTTAACAGCTTTCATTTTAATCACTCAGAATTGACTCAAAAATCCTGTGAGCCCTCTGTGGAGCTGCACAAAGCTCATCAGGGCTGGTTAAATGATTCACAGCTGCAGGTTCATTATTCTGCTTGGAAAGTTTCTTCAAAAGGAGAGATAAGAAACAGCTCTTCAGAGAGGGCAATAAAAACATTCTCTTCTTTTGGTGAAGTCACCTGATTTTAACACTTTGAATGCTAAAGGGTTATTTTGATGTAGATGCAGGGCTCTGTATTTGGCATATTGCCGGTTTTCAGTAGATGTGTAGTTGGAAATTGATGTATCATCTTTGGTGACCAGTTACCTGCCTGAGCTCTTGCTGCCCCACTTGCAGCTTTCCCAGCCAGCCTGGGTCTGGCACAGTCACAGCACACATGTTGTTACTGAGCAGCCCCTTCCAAACAAATCTGACTTTGGTGATCAGTTTTCCTGTGTGGCAGAGCTGTAGCAGACTTGCTGTGCAGAGTTCCTGCCGTTCACTTGCATTCATTGAGGGAGAGCACAACGGGATGGCTGAGCATCCCAGCAAGAGCACCATGGAGAAATGCACAAGGAATTGATCAGGCTCTGCTTCTCTTCATGGAAGTGTTTATTGGAGAATAACAATTAAATTCAAGGAGACCTCAAAGTATCCCATGCTCCTGCCTGGACCAACGTGCCGGGCTAAAAGTGCTGCCATTGACTGTGTGAGCTGCAGGGAAGCACGTGGCAATGAAATAGCATTTGCACTCAGGGCACATCCATGGCTGACTCCTCACCTGGGTAACCACAGCACTTCTTTGTGCAAAGGGCTTTTCATGCTGAAAGAAGTCAAGACACATGGAGACAAAAGTTTTGGTCATGTGTTTATGCCTGCCACGAGCAGCAGTCTGTGCTTTTTTGCTAATCCTCTTGTAAGAGGGAATATCATCTCCTTTTCTTTATTCAGAAGTTACACAAAACCAAGAGGAGAGAGAGGATAGTGAACCAGTATTTTATTTGACTGCTAGCCCCAAAGAACATTGGTGGATCAAATCTTACTCTATTACAACCACACAGATATTTTAACAGAGCGCGTATTAAAGCAGAGCATCTGGTGGGAGGTTGTGTGTAATCAGGAGGAAGTTTGCCAGACTTTTACAGAAACACCTCAAAGAAATGATGATTTTTAAGGCAGCTCAACACTGCCAGACTGCAAACTCCTACTGAGGAAATCACTGCTGTGCAAGGATCAGCATGGGATGGATGTGCTCTGAGGAAGCAATGTCAGCTTTACATCTGGGGGCAAACCGATCCTTGGAGAGCTGTTACCAGGTGAGGGATGATGCTGGCAGGTGAGGGATGATGCTGCCAGGTGAGGGATGATGTTGGCAGGTGAGGGATGATGCTGGCAGGTGAGGGATGATGTTGGCAGGTGAGGGATGATGCTGGCAGGTGAGGGGTGATGCTGCCAGGTGAGGGATGATGCTGCCAGGTGAGGGATGATGTTGCCAGGTGAGGGATGATGCTGGCAGGTGAGGGATGATGTCTGCCTGCTGCCATGGGCAGATGGGCAGCCTGTGGCTTTGACCTTGGCCTGCACCATCCATCCATTCACGCAGGGCTGAGGGATGCTGAGCCAGCGTGCTGTCCTGCTGAAGGATGAGGGGCAAGAACGGACTCTTTTATTGTTTATTCAGATTTTTTATTTACTATTTATTAATTAATTATTTATTTATTTACAGATTTATTTAGCCCAGAATAAGGAGTTTGACAGTTCTCTGGGAGTGGGTTGGGATATACATGCAAACTGCATTATTTATTTTCATTGATTTTTTTTCTATGTAAAGAGAAGAGCATTTGAATAAGTTTTACTAAGTTACAGTAACAATGTTTGTTTGCATTTGTGATTAGTTCGTTTTTTTAAGAAGAGACATCTTGTTTATAGAAACTTCCAGACAGTAATAGTAGGAAAATGCCATTTGCAGAGTCATGGATTCCCAGTTTTCCAGACAGTAAAACACACAGTTAGGAGTGATATCTGGTTAATGATGTAATTTACTTGTACCACAGAATTAAAGGTTTTGGTACTGCCTCTGTGGCGCCAGCTCCAGGCAGGACTCCACTCCAGTGGAACCAAATCAAAGATTCACCTGGTCAGAGCCAATACCTGAGCCCTGAGTATTTGCTCTCTGAGGAGATGTTTCTAATTCCATTTCCTCCCCATAGCAAATCCTCAAAAAGAAATCACTGTGCCTCAGATGGGAGCACAGACCTGAAGCCTTAGCACTGTCAGTGCCACTGGGATTTGCAGTGTCCCAAGCCATGCCAGGTCCCTGTCCCAGCTGTAGTTGTCCTCCTCCTTCCCACAATAACTTAGGAAAAAGCAAGGTTAGTGTTACTCTTACTCTTTCCTCCCCTTCACAATTTCTTTTTGAAATACAAATACATTCTCAGGTCACACAGTTTTGTACCCATCAAAGCGTCTTGATTTCCAAATTGAAGCAGCCTTTCACGCAGGCCTGCAGCTGTGACATGCTGCCAGTCTGGGTGGAAATGCTCAGCTAAAGAGGTGTAATTTAGAGTATTTTGCATGGGAAGACTGAAGCTCATTTCCTTTTCACTGTCTTTTGAAGATCAACCTTTTACCAGCACAAGGGCTGAGCCAGTGCAGAATGGACACAAAGAAACTGGTTATTCTTTCTGAGAAAGAGGAGAACACAAACTTAGGTGGCTTTTCATAGCTGAAGCTGGCTCTCATCTCTTTCTAGTGACCCAAACCCAGCTCTAAATGTGGTGTCTGGCTCCACTGTGAGCCCCCAGAGCAGCAGCTGCTGGTGCCAGCTGTCAGGCACACACACCCCCAGGAATCCCAGCTATCTCTTGAATTCCAGAGGCAGTGTTTGGACCAGGACCAGCATCAGTGCACCCTGCCACTGGCGATGGAGCTGGAACACAAGGATCTGTGATTGAGGCGAATGCTGTGGCACATTGTCAGATGCTCAGTTTAACTGAGCAGGGAATACATTACTGTTTACATGTTACAGGTTAAACTTCTTCCATCTCCTGCCTTTTGGGTTGAAAACCTGCAGGTCTGGTTTGCTGGTTCCATCTCAGACAAAGGCAGAACCCCCAGTTCCATAGCTTCTTAAAGGCTGCTGCTGCTGCTGCCCACAGGATAACTACAGGACAGAGGGACAGGCTGACCCAGAGGGAAAAGGGCTGCCAGGCTGGCACAGAAGCCACAAAGAACACAGCTCTTGAGGACTAGTAAAAAATAAAATACTATTGAAAGTGAAAATAATTCAGATTTTATGCCAAAGAAATGTCAATTCACAAAGTTAAAGCCCTAACAGTTTACATAAAGCCACAGTGTGTAGCTGGTGTGTGTATAACCAGTGTAGCTTCCCCGTGTTTGCTTAGACCATGAAAAGCTTTGTGTGCTGTTAAATAATTATTTTCATTTTTGCTGACTGTTCCAATGAAAAATTCACTCAACACCCCTCGTTCTGGAGCGCACAAGTGGGCAATTCATCCCTAGCGAATTGTGATACCTGAGAGAACAAGGTCCTGAATGACCCAGTCAAAGGCTGAAGTTTGCATGCTGTTGGTTGAGTTGATGGTCTCCAGAGCCCTTTCCCACCCCATTTCCCCATGATTTTGCAATCTCTGTGTGATGCTGCCCAGCTGTCGGATGAAAGGTTCAGCTTTCCGCCACGATCGGCTGCACGCTGGATATGTCCGTCCTTGCAGAGTTCCTCTGTCAGCTTTCCGCCACGATCGGCTGCACGCTGGATATGTCCATCCTCGCGGAGTTCCTCTGGGAGGGTGCCTGTGCCTTCTGGCACGTGCTGCTCCTCTTGCAGGGGCAGTTCTCAGGCCTGGTGCGGCGGAACAGCGGGGAGAGGGGCT